CCTCGCCGCTTTTTGATCACTCCCGCCGCCCTTATTACATAACCCTTAGGGTCGCCGGGCCGTCCTGTGGACCCTTGGATATCTATCGTTCTAGATGCGATTTTGTAGGGCGATACGATAGTGAAGGGTTTCGAGAATTTAGAGTGGTTATATTTATTTTAAACTTGACCCCGAAGGGGATTTAAGTTACAAACTACCACATGTTTCCATACACTGGCTATGCATAGGTCTAAAGAATCAGCGATCCAGCGATGATCAGACATTTATGAATAATAACTCATGGCTTCATTATTCCGTGATTATGTACGCTAATCTTGAGGCTCCTGATATACAAATGTAGACAAAAACTGGAAATATGCCAGTAGAATAAAGCTCCGGAAGTCGGAACCTTAAATTGACCGTAATGAGTCTCCAAACTAAACAATTTCAATGAACGTTGAATTTTCCGATCTAAATAAAATGTAGGTGATTAGAAGAGCCACGAGAGACCCTTGGTGTAGATTTTATTCCAGCCAGACAAGTTTTGGTTCTCGATGGCCAGCATAGCCACATATTCGGCCTCTTCACGGTCGATTTCGGCCTTTCCGGTCCAGATATCAGCATTGTGGGGCTTGATAAACTCGGTCCGGTTCCAGATCTTCCACCCCGCAAATGCTATAACATAGAGGGGAATTCCGATATAGGAAGTGATAAAGGTCTTGTAGTCGAAATTGCCGTAGGTTTCCGGGTTGTGAATAAACACACCGAAGCTGCGGGTGAAGACCACCAAGACACAGAAAAAGAGCGCAACGCAAGAACCAATGATTCCCAGAGGAGCTTTGTAGGCCAGTGTTGTCTCGTCGACGCCCTGTGCACGTCGAGCGCGAATGAAGAAGATGTGAGTGATCAAGAGGGAGATCCATGTCAACACTGTGAGATCGGGTCAGAATACTGGACAAACTTCGAGTCACTTTGGAGAGAGTTGAGAGAAGGAAACATACATCCGAAGATTGACACCATGTCAGTGAAGTATCCAAAGACTTCCTTGGAGGTGCTAGAAACATTCATAAAGCCAAGCAAGCAGAAAGCAGCCGAGAGTCCCAGGGCATAGATTGGGACGCCAGCTCGGTTGGTGCGAGCAAAGATTTGAGGGGCCTTCTTCTCACGGGCAAGACCGTACAGAGTTCGAGTGGCAATGTACAGATCAGAATTAGCCGCAGAGAACACAAACACCAGGATACAGCCGTTGATGATGTGAGGAAGAGCAGTGACTTGCTTCATTGCAACCACGAAAGGTGAGGCGGCAGCAGAGCTCTTGGCCTTGGTGGCGAAAGCCAGATCCGGGGAGTTGTATGGGACCAACATGCCGAGGAAGAGCACGCTGAGGATGTAGAAGACGATAATTCGCCAGAAGGTGAGCTTGATAGCTTTGGGGATGGTCTTCCGGGGGTTCTGGGCCTCTCCGACGGTCACACCAATCAGTTCGGTACCTGTAAAAAAAAAAAAAAAAGAAAATTAGAAGGTGGAAGGGGGAATTTCAATCACAGGAAGTCCGTACCGAGGAATGCAAAGGTGGCCTGCACCATTGTCGACCAGAAGGCAAGGAATTTTCCAAAGTTACCATCGACATATTTAGTGGCGAAAGCGCCGGGCTCACTCCAGTAGCGGAAACCTCTTCTGTCGTGGTCGGGACCACCACCAAGAGCAAAGATAAGAGAGCCCAGAATGAGTCCCAGAATGACAATCACCTTGAAAGACGAGAGCCAAAACTCCAATTCACCGAAAAGCTTCACGCCGAAATAGTTGATCACAATGATTGCCACCATGAAGATGGCGATCCAAATACCGGGATTGACATTCTCTGCTGAAGTCTTGGGCCAATAAGTAATGACTAGAGCGGCTGCAGTGAGTTGGGTAGGTGGTAGAATAATATATTTGAGGTAGTAGCTAGAAGATGGTTAGATTTTCCTTCTTATATCAGCTTGAGAATGTTACTCACCACCATCCGAGGGTGAATCCGAGAGCAGGGTCACAGAAACGGCCAGCGTAACCAGTGAAACCGGAGGACAATGGCAGCCAAGCAGCCATTTCACCCAGTCCACACATAACCGTCCAAACGACGAAACCCATAAAGCAGTAAGCAATAAGCAAAGATCCAGGCTAATTAGGAATGGTTAGTCGTAGTCAACATTATGGAAGATGAGGGCGAATATAAAACATACTCCGGCTCTAGAGATTTCAGTCAGTAAGGTTTCAAACACGAATTTCATTAGAAAACTCACGTCAAAGCGCTGCCAGTACCCACAACCAATCCAGTACCAATGGCACCACCAATGGCAATCATAGAAATGTGACGAGCCTTGAGCTCTCTCTTAAGGTCGACGGGCTCATGCTGTCCACCTTCTTTGAAATCCCCCGAGTTATCAATGTAGGTGGGCTGTGACTCGAGAGCGTTGATCTCATCGGGGTGACCCATCTTGATATTAGGTCGGACCGAGAATCACAACAGAGAGGATGAGAAGAATTGATCAAACCCGACTCTTACGCAGGGGGGGACACGGATTAAATGAACCAGCCCAGCGCACATTATTTTAAGCGAAATTCCGGGGTCAAGTTTTGCCATTATCTCTATCCCCTCTTTGGCCCCTTCTACAAGTGGAGACAAAATCCTGGAGAGGCCTAGTGACTAAGATTCTAGGAGATAATGTGGGGTATGGAGCTACAACATATTATTGCTTTGTTAACGTAACTTTTTCCCCAAGGTGGAGGCAAATGTCAAGATGCGCGATATACGCCGGGGCACTTCGGGGCCATTGACCTGCATATCTTATTAGTGTTATGCTTTCTCGTCATTTCCCCCGCAATATGTTTCTCCACAGATTCAAATACGGGAAACAGCCCTTGAGTGTTGAATGTGCTCCTGTTGTCCCAAGATTGCTGGTCCCGCTTACAAAGTCCTATATAGCTCCCGGCCCCGAGGGGCCGTCTACGGCGTAAAGGGCTTACCTTCCACCGCTTACAAACTCTATACAACGCCCAGGTGGAGAGCAACTCTAGTCCTTTCTCCCAATCTATGATCCACAATCGTACATTAAGCTTCCCTAAATGCATTGTTTATAGAAATATATAACCCTTTATCTCTATGATATGAATTGATACCGGTATCTTCATAGACGCCAATTGTTGCCGTTTCTGGAGCCGAGTCTGTCCCGAACAGGCTTCCGGGTGCCAAGTGCACCAACGCTGGGTGGCGGTGTTAGAGCGCTTGGCAGAAGTATCGGTGCTCTTGGCACGGCTACCCTCGGTCCATCCAGGGCCCTGGCCCCAAAACTTTGGAGAGAAAAAAATACGCTTAAATGGAAGGCAAAATGTTATTGAAGTGCACGGCCTTGAGATTTCGCTTGACAACTCGGATTTTTGCGAATACATGTTCTTTTAGACATTCTAGTTTAGCGTTTTTGCAAAGGATTGAGCTAGCTAATTTTCCGATCTACCCGTCCGTGCATTCCGCATCCTACGAGGCGTAAACTATGCAGGTAATCGTGCCCGCACCCAACACCGGGTATAGTGTTAGCTTGGCACGGTTAATACAAACGTTCACCGAGTTAAGATGAATTTTTTTTTTTAAATTGACCCAGTGGTTGCCTCCCAAGAAATCTTGGCGAGACACATAAACTTCTAGAACCTTTATGGCCTTTTCAGCCGTAAAAGGCTATTTAATATACAACATACGTGCTTCGTACGGCCCTCGATTAGTCTTTATATGCATTGACCAAGCCGTTTCCCTGGTACTCCATACTGTAGATAGCATACGAATCACCTGGGAAAAACCTAGATTGCAAATCCACTCGGACACTTAGCCAAGACTTTTGTTCTGGTTATCATGGTCAGAGGAGCTTGGTGATATCTATTACCAATTACTTGTTGAAAAGATTTACTTAAGCTTATCGCAAACACACAATCTCACTTGCAGACTTTGACACTTGGTTATATTTTCTATGCAATTAAATTTCTCTACGATATTAATATATCTTTTAGCTTTTAGGCAAATACTCTCACCAAACACGAAACATAGGGATAAGCATGTGGACCTATACATAGATCTCGGCCTCGTCCCCTCTCCTGTAAAGATGTTAAATATGCCAAAAAAAAAAAAAAGACAGAGCGAACAGCACGACGCTAGTACCTATCCTATAGTTTTAGAATGTGCCTAGTGATATAGATAATTCGGTATCGTTTAATTGCTATCAAAATTAAGCTTTCGAGGCTCCTGTTTCAAGTAATAAGCTTTTAAACGTCGAATTCTTCCTATTGTCGAGTTTACTGGGGATCTTGGCTAATTTCCTAATTTGGGGTTTACTAGATATTAAAACAAGGAATCTCGATAGGTTGCATATTTCAGTTTCGATTCGAAATCAGGACACCTACTTGAGGGGTCCCCTTAGGAATCATATTTAAGACGTAAAATATACATACTAGTTTGTCAGGGTAGAAGCATGTTGCCTATACGAATACAATGATGATAGATATCGCTCTCGCTCCCTCTTCTTTACTATGCTTCTCTCTGTTTTCCTCTACATTGCCCCCCCCCCCCCCCCCCCCCCCCCCCCCCCCCCCCCCAGACTTTCTTTCTTCTTTTTTTCTAGATAGGCTCTAGGCTCCTTATCCGTCTGACCTTCCTGGGGTGGTTAGAGAGCAAAGATCCATGAAATAACACGCCAAGCCATGGTCTGTGGGGTACATACTACACCGGTCTCCAATGTGCAGAAACCAACTTAGATCGATGACAGGCCAGAGAGCCATCTGATTATTACATGGAGAATTATAAAAAGGTTAGTTACATTGCTTTGATTTTGTCTCACGCCATAAAACGAACGGATTGAATATCAACTCTGGTATGGCCCATTGTTGGATCAGAGATATCTACAACTAACATCACTGTAGTGAATACACTCCAAGGGGTGAATTAGTGACCGTGTCCTTGAGATTATTCTCTTTACATCGTATTGAAAACCTCATAAATGGCCCCAAAGAAGAGAATCGCCATTATCGGCGCGGGTGCTGCTGGCATGTCATGCGCTTCTACTCTAGCTAAACATCCGGAATTCGCAGTCACTCTCATCGACACAGAGGGCTACACTGGCAGCCAAGCAACTTCCATTGATATAGATGAATCAACACATGGCGCCAGTTGGTTGAATGATGGCGTTCAAGGGAGTTCGCAGATTTTCCGGCATACATTTCAATTCTTCCGTCGCTATGGCTATGAGCCTCAACCGGTGAAGCTTCAAGCGGCCTTTGGAAAGGGCAAAATCTTTTGGACCGATGTCTTTCCCAGTCATTTGGTCGACGAACATTCATCCGAGATCAAGAAGCTGTCGCGAGTCCTATCCTGCATCAAATACTTGATGTCCATTCTAGGAATCATGCCAGTCAAGACCATTCTACGACTATTCTGCTTTAGCAGTGACTTCAGCAACAAGATGGTCTTGCCTCTTTTGGTTTTGTTCTTGAGAACGGGAAAATAAACCCCTGATGTTTCGAGTGTTCTGCTGGAACGTCTGTTCAACGACCCCCAGATGAAGCTCTTGGAGTATGATCCTGACACACTCTTGCCCAATCTTCCTACCATGTACACATTCCCAAACTTAAGCAAATTTGATCGTGGCTGGACATCAGACCTGCGTGAGAAGGGCGTTCAAATCCGGCTTAATTGTCGCTCAAGCCATCATAGAGCGTGGAAAGAAAGAAGTCGTGCTGCAACTGCAAGATTATGATGAACGGTCAAGTAAAAGGGGATCCATCGATCGAAAAGTTAGATGACTTAGTCATGTGTTGCCCTGCAGATGAAGCGAGGAGGTTACTGGATCACCACGCTACATGGCGTGAGAAATATGTTTTGGGTGGCGTCAAGTTCTACAACGACACCACCATAACCCACTCGGACTCAACATACTTCCAAAAAGTCTTTTGAGATGCAACATGATCCAAAACTATCAGCGGAGCCATCTCTGAAACACGAAAGATATGGCGTTTGCCAAGCAGCAGCCCGTGAACCAAAAGGATGGCTGGCTAGGATTTCGTTCGATGTACTTCACACGCTCCTACACATCTGATCCCGACAAGATAGAAATGGGGTTTAACCGCAGCCATTATTAACACCAATTTCGTGAGAATTTAGGCGAGAACAAACCAGCAATACCGCAAGACCAGCATGTGTTTCGGACAATATTCTTGGTATGCCAATACCTCTACAAAAGCACAAAGGGCTGTGACTGATGCTCATTTGTTAGAATGACCAAGAAAAGGATCTGTGGAAATGAAACGACATTGATCTATCGAAATTATATCGTAGGTTCCACTAAATCTTTTCCAATCACTACATAAGACATATTATTGACAATACCTAGTCGCAAATGGTGGCACCAGTTTGGTCATCGGCGGCAACAGTCTTGTTGGATAGCTCATGCTATAGCAAAGGTGAGGTTTTATTGGCAAGTAGAATACTCTTAAGCCACCTAAATTCGATACATAAGCGATATATGTGGGTTTATGGTCAGTATATGAGACATTTATTTGAATTCTTTTGAATGGATATTCTGACAGGCAAAAAAAAGGGGAAGAGACCAATCAAAGAGAGAGTAAAAACAAAATATCAGACCCTGAAGCTTGATATTGATATACAAAGTAAAAAAGACACATAAAAACTCCACGGCGGGTTAGGTTGAATCACTTAAGTTTACCATGCACTATGGCCGAAGAGGCACAAAAACAGTCCACCATATCATTGATTTTAGAGATTAACGGCGGTACCACATGCGTGTGATTCTGGTGTGTCTCATCTTCTTCTGCAGCTGGAAGATACCGTACATCAATGCCTCGGAAGTGGGTGGGCCTTGGTTTTTGTTAGTCAATTGCAATAGCACAAGTATGAAGGAAAAGAGAAAAGCTTACATCCAGGCACGTAGATATCGACCGGCACAACCCGGTCACAGCCCCGCACGACTGAGTAACTGTAGTGGTAGTAGCCACCACCGTTGGCACAACTGCCCATGCTGATAACCCACCGGGGGTCGGGCATTTGATCGTAAACCTGACGGAGAGCAGGGGCCATCTTGTTCGTCAATGTACCGGCCACAATCATAACATCGGACTGACGCGGAGAAGCACGGAAAATGATTCCAAGACGATCCTGATCGTAACGGGGGGTAGAAAGGTGCATCATCTCTACGGCACAGCATGCAAGACCGAAGGTCATGGGCCACAAAGAGCTTTGACGAGCCCAATTGGCAACCTGATCGAGAGTGGTCCTAGTGATATAAGGTCAGCGGAAGTTCAAGGCGCATACAAGATGGAGCCATAGAGGGCAAACGAACAATGCATATTGCATAGCACCCTCCTTCTTCTCCTGACTAGGCAAAGGCACCTCGCGGCGAGCCTTGCCGGACGCAGTCAATTGCTGGGCGCCTGCTGAAGGTTGACGCTCGAGCGCTGTCGCTGATTTGATTGACGAAGTCGAGAGGGCGGCCAAGGGTTGGGCACGGGGAAGAGAGGCAACGAAACGGGGTCGCGCAGCTGTTTTCTGTTAGTGAATTGATATCGTCATCAAAGTGAAGAAGATCCCTACCGGACAGAGCGCCAGAGATGGCGGGCCTCGCCATCGGGAACATCTTGAAAAAAGTCTCTCCGGTGGAGAGGAACAACTAGAATAAAAGGTCGTGATCCCAGAGGTTAAAGAGACAAGGTAACTGCCTCGGCCGGTGGCGACAGGTAATATGGAATCACAAGAGGGCAGAGGTGGCGGGCTCCGGGTAACTGCAAGACAAGGAGAACCCCAAAAAGGTTCCGATTCCAGAGTGGAAGAAGATGATGTATACCGGCGGTTTGGGAGAGATGATGTAAGCTATTACCTCACAGTTCATTGGCTCAGTGACTGTATTTTTCGGTCACAGAACGTGGTACGGTAAAAGCGGTGAGATGCTCGTAAATCCAATTGCTTGTGTGGTCATTGGCTCTGAGCTCCTTTTGCTGCCTCGGTGCCTGAACGCGTCTTCTCCATACGTTAGGCCGCGGGGGGTTGGAGACGACCACTCCACTACTGTCTACACTTTGGTTGCAAAGTATCCGTCCTTTGAAAGGGCTGCTCGATTTTAGAGCATTGTGGACATGGTAGGGAGAGATAATACCTATCAATCTTAGAACTTTCACCCGATCACAGTGTCAAGACAAGAGAATCAGTCCCTAAAGTCCAAGAGCTCAAGTGATTGCGCCCAGTCCGGATACATTGTCACTTCAAGAACTATCTCAGAAATGTCGGGCCCCAAAATTGCCTGTATTGGCGTGATTGGGAAGGCAGTATGTATCACTCTGACAACTTGTCCCTCTAGAATTACCCATACTAACTCGATTGCAGGATAACCCTCTTCACATTTCCCTATTTCCCCCATATTCAGATTCCACTATCGAATTCTCCTTCTTACTGAACTCCTGCCTCGACATTTTCGATATCCGCTGCAAACAAACATCCATTGATCAGGACCTAGGCCTGTTACATGCAATTGACGAACGGCTTGCGGCCTATGGATGGTTGACAACCACGGGAGTAAAACTATTGATCATTGTGGATTTATTCGGCCAGGAAGAGGCCAGCGCTGGAAAGCAAGCAGGCGCTGCTATCAATGGTCTGAGAGATTCTGACGTTAAGCCAGTATGTTCTTCCTCTACGCTCGGCGAACGTTTTATCTCCTGAAAGAGCCTCTCCTCTAATCACTGCACACAGGCGTTCCGCGCATTACAGAGTGCGTATATTCAGCTTTTGCAGAATCCATTCTATTCCCCCGATGACCACGTACCGATTCCAGGGAATGCGGCATCTTCTTTATCCGCTTGCCAGCCAATCTCTAACCTAAAGTTCGTTGCGGATGTTAAACGTATTGGGGATTCGTGGGCTCCAGGTACTTCTCTGTAGGGAGAGTGCCAATGACAGAATTAAGGATACAGATAAACCTAAGCCAGCCAGTTTCCCCAACTTACATACATTCGTATTCAACAGCAATAATCTCAACCGAAGTGTCGGGACAATAGATATATTAATTCTTTGGTCAATAAGTGCTGGGCTTCCATTTCATATAGTGTACAAATCATGAGGATTCTGAATATAATAGAACAGACAGTAAAAAGATGATCATTTTGTCATCATGCTAAATCTGGTTGGTACTTAGTTTTCCATTTGGACTTCAGTCTGCTCCAGTGCGACCATGATCTCTGCCATTTCACGAGGGTCACAAACAGCCCACACGCCGCCACCTTTGGTGTCAATTCTCCCAACCTCTTTGCCAACTAAATTCCTGCCGACCTTTCCTGGTCCAATTCCGATCCAACGCCTCACGCCTCGCTCCTGATGAAGATAGCGAATGCTATCCCACCATCTCACTGTGTCAGTGCACTGGCTTGAAAGTAGATCTTTGATATCTTCCTTGGACTGAAATGGTAAGGCGGAAACATTTGATATGCATGGAACTGATGCCGGGAATGTGATGTTTATTTTCTCGACAGCATCTCTCATATAATCCGCAGCAAGCGCCATAGCAGGGCTATGAAATGGGCTGTCACTTTTCAGTCTGACAGCACGTGGGTCGTGACCTCCAAATTGGCGCATTTGGACCAGAAGGATTTTGATTCGGTCAAGACTACCACTTAGCACGATTTGATTTTTCGAGTTGATGTTTGCGACCACCACTTGTTGAATTGATGGGACCCGATTCTCCCTATCAACTTCAATACCCGGCGATTCGAGGCCAATGAATTCCTCAACCGTCCGAAGCAGACCTTCCAGATGTTCGGGTTCACAGAGAAGTGCAACCATGCCGTATGTTTCACCTGATTGCTCGGTCAACTGGCGCGTACACTGGGCCATCTTTTCAGCCCGACCACGAACTAATTGTAAAGCATCCCCAAATTCAAGATAGCCGCCGGCAACCAATGCGGAGAACTCCCCGAGGCTATGTCCAAGCGTAACATCAACCCGAGATTTAGTGTCGAATCCGAACTCCTGCTCCAGAATACGAAGTATCAGGACTGAGATTGCCATCACTGCAGGCTGTGAATTTTCCGTTTTATTGAGCTTCGAGTTGGGGCCATCGGATATAATGCTGGACAGTTTGAACCCGAGGGTGCTATCCATCTCATCCAAAACCTTAGCCGCGGTATGGGGGAAGCTTTCTATCCAGGTGTTGGCCATGCCAACCCTTTGGACTCCATGCCCTATTGTGTGTATTAGCGGTCATTTGAGCCTCGGAGGTGAACGGGGTTGGGGGCGGTACGAACCCGGGAAAAATAGGGCAGTGTGTAGGTCTCGTCTTATGGGCAGGATATTAATGTTTGTTGATCTCGAAGGTGTAGCCAAAATTTGCGATGCGGCATGCGCAATGGATCTTAGTCGGAGGTGACCTCTGGGATGCAAGCGTGGGAGCATCATCTCTATAGTTGGAGCCCTAAGCAACCCTTGGGGGCCTTGATCTTGACCGTATCAACACAGCATATGAGCATGGTTGCTATTTCGTAGTCGTGAGGGTGAGATACGCTTTCCCATGGAGCGAAATAGTGTTTTCTTCAGTCCATGCTGCTGTTTATGAAGGGAGTAGTGGACTCCGCGTGGGGTTGGATGTGGGATTCACGTGAGCTCCTTTTTTCGGGGTAATCGGCTATGCAAAGATTTCCACCTATAACCATCAACTGTATACTTAGACTAGACCTACAATATAGCTTGGATAGCTCTAATATGCCGATTGTATTTATATTCTGAGAACAACAAGTATGCACATGCTTACCTACGTACTTGTACCTCATACAGTATAGCTAAATACCTAATTGAGATTGGTGTACTACTGTATGCTATCGGTATTTTCTCAATACCCGATGATTGTCCAAGTATACAGAGCCCCACATTTCAACAAGTAAAATAGGCTTAACTCATATAAAACATTATTTGATGTCGATTAAAATTGCTATTTGTTTATGAGAATTAATTCTAGAATATGTTTGGCTTGTAACTACTTTTTGTAAGGTACACATATACATAATATACATCATAATATACATATTGTAGTAGTACATGTAATTTACACCTGTCTTGTACCGACCTGTACAATAGGGTATTTTCTCACCGCCTTCGGACAAACATCCTCGATTGTTATTGACCAACACTATCGGCTGCTATCACCGTGCTCCAATTCAAACGCATCTTCTTGGGAGAGCTTTCTTCTCCCTTTATCTTTTTCGTACTCTCCTCTCTGACCTTGCATTAACCTTAAAGGGCGAATCGGACCCCAAGGGTCAACGATCTTCAAAGCTTTCGCCGGCTAGCGTTTTCGCGACTACAGGTTGCGTACATATTGAAAATGTTCGTCCCTAAAGCCGGTGGTCGCAATACTCGTCGACGCCAGCGAACGAGCTCAGATGACTCTGTCAACCCACCAAAGGCCAAGAGACAGCGCTCCGTCCTGCGACGCCCAGACGAATCCCCTTCCGATACCAACCTTGGGCGTGAGCTCGCAAAATTAGCAGCCCCCACTGCGCCAAACGGTGATATTGCCCCTACGGATCAGATCAACACTGAGTCGCATCTATCAAATCGTGTTGTGAAACAAGGCGATGGATCTGGAAACAATAATGAGGGGACAATCGTTCTGGTGAGTTACTCTCATATCTTTGCGCGTTCCTTTAAACCCCGGAGTCCGAAGTGCTAACTTGCTGGGTTCAAAGTCAAGCACTGATTTTTACACCGTTGATCAACTGCCGTCTTTGCCGGATCAAATTCGTGGCTTACAATCAGGTATCCCAATTTCCACGGCTTTTCCTCGCCTTGGGTTGCGGTTTGCTGACACTCACCCTTTGAACGCAGAACCCCTCAAGTGCTTTTTCGGACCTGGTCATGCTCACGCACTAGCTTTGACTCGCTCGCATGCCATTGTGTGGCCCTATTCTGCGCCTGTTTCGTCCCCATCTCCGTCGGAGACGTTCACGGTATCGATTCCGGAGTCTTGCAGAGATCCCAAAGGCGCCGTTCCACTCGGAGTTCTATTGTCCACGGCTACAGGAGACCACCCCGGCCTTTTAGTGATCATCCCGTCTACAGGAAAAGTCATTTACTGGGAGACTGTGTCCAGCGCCGCGTCGCTGGGTTTGTCCCGACAAAAGCAGAATGGCATCCAAGGATCTACCCCTGGCATGCTTTCCGGTGAGTATGCCACGGAAATACTCAATGCGGAGCCTTCGGGAATCATCGCTACATTCTCGTCCGGGCGAGTAGCGCACATCACCCTGAGGGACCCCCAGGGAAAGCCCTCGGTGCTCGTGAATTTTCTCAGAAGCACTGCAGGGACTGGAGGCGGTGGAATTCTCGGGGGCATCAAGAGCGTGTTTGCAGGCGGGTCATGGAGAAAAGAGGTCACTGCCGTTCGAGCTGGTGGTTCCCACCAACGCGGCCAGCGAGATGTCATTATTGCAACTTCGACCGGACTGGTTGAGATATGGGACACGCATTGGAACCACGGGAATACCCTCAAAAGACGGTACGATGTCAAGGATGAAATTCTGGCGGCCCTCCCTGAACATCATACGAACTCGACGAATGATCCAGAGCTTAAAGTCGTGGACTTTGCGTTTTCTGCCCTGCAGTCTTCCGACGATGCTGTTCAACTTTCCGATGGGTCCTGGCGCCTCTTTCTGGTTGTCAGGTCGCCTCAGTGGTTAGAAACTAGGGAGCTATTCGTGGTTCAAATTCACTTGTCAGGAAACGAAGCTCGTGTCATGTCCACGCATGCCGTGGATCTTCGCCATATTTCTCCATCCCTGCTCGAAACCTCGAAGCCCAAGATATTTGTGCCGAAGCCAGAAGAAACTGCTTTCATCCTTATTGGCCAGTCTCTTGTTATTTTGTCATTGACAAGTGTCGAAGAGAGTCCATCCTCGCAACTGCTTCTCGATTCCAACAAGCTACCTCTACCTTTCCAAGACATCATCCACTTGCGCTCTGGCACAGACCACGAAATACTGGGGTCCATCTCAGAGGACCAATCGAACGATTCGTCTTGCGCAGCATGTGTGCTCATGCTTCGGAATTTCGGTGTCATTCGTGTGACGGCACTTCCTCGCCCTGGGACAGAACAAGATGTCGACGAGCCTCAAGTCACAGCAAAGCACAAGCTTGAGCAAGCGGTTTTCTTTGGGACCATGGCAAAGAATCCGTTGAACCTATCCAGCGAAGGCGATTTGAATTTCCCTCCGTCGGAAATGGAGCAGGCATCTTTGGAAATATGCAGGGAGCTACTCCAATCCGAGACTCGCTTCATTCCCACCACTGCTATTTCACTAGAGCAAAATCTCCGGTTGAGAGCAAAGGCATTAGATGATCTTGCCTCATTGCTGACACGCCAAGGCTATCCTTTGAGTCGACCGGCAAAGTGGGAGTTGCTGTGGGCTGCGGAAAAAATTGCAGCACAAAGAGCTATGTGGAAGATCCAAGAGGCCTGCAAGAACAAGAATGGAGACGAGGAGCCTTTCCTCGGCCATGTCATTGGATCAATGCACGATAAATTCAAGACTCCGATCAACCCCCAACACGGAGAGACCGATCCGGTACGCCAATGGTTCCTGAGAGACTCTTACCGCATGGAGCATATCATCCCATGGATCAAGAACGCAATCAAGATCGGCCGGGGCAACACCTCCAACCCTGCGCGTGCATTGTCCGAAAAGATCCTGGCGGCTAGTGAGCTGTTCCTAGCTGTCACGGAGACTGCTTTCCGATATCGCGATGAGCACGTTGTACTTTATGGTCTTCGTGAAGACTACCTTGAGGATGGTGTGCTTGCCGATGGATATGAAGATCTTCCCGAGTTCTGGACATCGAGAGCTGTTGGTTACTCTGAAGCAGGGCATTTACTTGATTTAGAACTGGATAGTTGCCGGTCGTGGAAAACACCCGCATCGGCTGCAGATGCCCCTGACACACATGTTTTGAATCAAGTCGCGAAGAACAGCTATCGACACCTTCGTGTGATCGGTCAAATGCATCGCGAACGAACTCGATGGCTTTCTGCCCAAGGAGATCCCAAATTAATGGATGATAGTGTCGCGATTGAGCAGGCCCATGTTGAAGACCGCAAATGGCAACTCTTCAAGCTGGCTGGTATCGACCATCTTGCCGATGCTATCGAGTTGGCAGAAAGCTTCGGAGACATGGGAGCGTTGGTTGAGTTGATCATCGAGCTTCAAGATCAAAAGGCAAATCAACCTTCGCGTACAGAACCCTCAAGTGATGTTTCCAATCAAACTGAGATCGATGCCGACCAATTGATCGCCAAGTATTTCGACAAATTTGGTGACCAATGGGCGGATGCATACTTCTCCCGGCAAATCGCGATGGGTTATCCAGGAATTCTGTTCACCATGCGAAAATACCAAACTGCTATCACTCGGTTCCTTCGAAGTAACCCCGCATACTCTCGCCTGAGCTGGATTAACGATGTCACCGGCGAAGACGACTATGACACCGCCGCAGCCTCATTGGAGAATCTAGCGCTTGGTGAGAAAGACTTGTGGAGCCACCGGGTAGAGATCTCGCTAGCCAAGCTAGGTAAACTAGCGACACAGGAGCGAATGGATTCTCCCGTTATGACTTCTACTTTGCAAGAGGATGTGAAACGTCTTGATGATTACGTTGAAGTCGATGGGATTCAAGACATTCTCTATGGGCACATTGAGCCTATCCTGCAGGGTGCTATTGACCGAAAGGCAGAAGTTGAACTAGCGGTCGGTCAGTATGGAGATCATATCTTCGAAGATCGACCATCGCTTCATGAAATCTTGAGCGATGCTCTCTCTACCTTGATCAACCGGCAGGTTGTCGGTGCCGATGGCCTGATTGATATCTTGACGTTGATGGGACCTTCTCAGCTCGCAGATGATGGGGAGGGCGAGTTTGTACGAAGCGAATTCCATCTTGCCTTGCAGGTTCTTGACTATGGACGATATGGCCAGCGAGACCCATCCTACCTCGCGGCTTTGAAGAGGTTGATCTGGCGACGGTGCTTGATCAAGGATGATTGGGTAGCTCGGGGCAAGGCTGCTGAGGGGGCCAACGGCAATACACACAACTCGGTCGCCGACACGGCGCTCTACCGATCACTAACTGCATGCTTGGGAGGTGAGTTTGTTTCAACGCTCAACACTATTAAC